ATGCTTCTGTGCTGACCACTATGCAGCTGCTCGATATTGTTATCGGGCAGCAATGCAAAATTTTTTCCGATAATATCGATGCGGAGCGCATAACGAGGGAAAACCGGCCCTCGTCATTTTCGAGCAAGGAGGCTCGGACAGCTCGACGAGAAGAAAATCTTCGACCAAATGAGTTCTTCGAGGAAGAAGAAGGACTACTTATTGGCCAGGAATAGCTGATTAAAATTTAATTAGTGTAAGTATCCTAAAAATTGTATTTTTTGGACCTAAAACTTTAAATCGCTTTTTCTCGATTTTTCATTTTCACAGTCATAGAAAACGGTGCCAGTGATAGCAAAAAGAATTTTTTCCGATTGACAAAAATCAAAGTGTTCTCGCTTCAGTATTAAATTATCTTTTATTTGAACTAAAATAGTTGGACAAAAGTATTATTTAAACTATTTTGTTTTGCACCTTAAAGTGAATTTTTTTTTTAAAGTGAACTTTTTTTCAAATTTCGAAAAAATTTGGAATTTTTTAATTTCTTCGGTATATTTTTAGTTCAAATGGAAAAGACACTTATAAAAAGTAAAAAAATTGGTTTGACTGTTTCAGATGCATCGTACGACCTCCATCACCGGCACCGATTTAAAAATACAGACTGCAGCGCTCTACAAAAATCGTTGTTACTAACAAGAATTTAAATATTTTTTAAAAATAAAAGTTGGTTTTTGAAGCTCAAATACAGTAGAATATCACCCAAAAATTTCGTTTACCGCAATCATTTCCTTCCCTTTCAAAAAAATTCCTGAAAAAACGCTTTTTTCGCCTTCTAAAGGAGACTACTGCCTTAAAGAAACCGATGTTTTATGGAAAAGAAATTTCTTTTTCCGAATCGGCTAAGTACCTTGGAGTAATCCTGGATAAAAATCTGAGCTAGAAAGAACATTTTGAATATCAGTATAGAAGGTTCTGTACTGCTTTTTGGGCGTGTAGAAGGGCAATAGGGTCATTTTTGGGACTGAGTTCTAATATGGTCAACTGGAACTATCAGATGATTTTAAAATCCAGGTTTCTTCACGCGGCGGTTGTTTGGTTGTCTAGGTGTCAACTGAGAACAGTCATAGAGAAACTGGACCAACTCCAAGCAATGGTTTTCAGGGGTATTACAGGAACTATGAGGACCACGCCAACAGCTGCGTTGGGATTCATACTATCCGAAGCATCCACGTTCAATTCTATCAATCCCAGAATTAAGTATGGTGTAAGATAGAACTAAGAGGGTAAAATTTAAACCCCGCTTTAAGATCATTATACCTTCCAGAATGGACTGGAAGAAGGTCTTTCCACGTTCTGTCAGGCCGAGGTCTGTGCGATTTTAAGTAGCGCCCAAATGTCCATTCCAAAAGGAACAAAAGGCAAGAGGATTAGTATTTGTGTCTGGGAATGCTGCAGCGTACTAGATGAGTTGGGTTCATTAAATAAACTTTCATTGATCTGGGTACCGGGTTACTCCGAAATTAAGGGAAATGAAAAAGTAGACGTCTTAGCAAAAATTTGTTCCGAGACAGCATTGATAGGTCCTGAACCAACAGTGACAATAATTCCGTGCTTTGTAACTTTAAGAAAATGAAGAAATGAAAAATTTAAGAAATTTAAGAAATGAAAAAAGTTTTATAAAATATATAATAGGATTGGAGAAGAAAACAATATTTTACGAAAGAAACAGTCATAAGCTATATAAAAATGAAATAAATAATATAATCGTACTGATAAACACGACGAGAACACTAGTAGAGCACGATGTTAGACGCCGCACTGCAAGCGAAGGGAGCTATTTGGACGAAGCGTGGATGAGAATGTGTACCCCAAAGGTCGGGCAGATTTTTTAGATATCTTTATGTTATACAATGTTAATAGTATTTTTAAATATTAAAAAATAAGAATATTAATTGCTTTGTAAAGTATAATTATTATTTTTTATTTTTTGTAAATAAAAAAATGTAATGATATATTAATGAATATTTCTATAAGGCAGAGGAAATTATTAAATTTCGTTATTATATTTTATATAAAAGTAATCAAAATAATTATATTTTACAAAACAATTAATAGGGGAGACAAGGTGCAGTTGTTACAATTTTGATAAAAACAGTTACTATGATTAGAGTTTAACTCCATATTGTTTGGTCAAACGATTAAATCAATGGTATATTATCTAGTTTTAAAAGGCCATAATTGATTTAGCTCTATATCTATTATTTAATTAACTACAAGCATTTGAGTGACAGTGTGTAAATTGTAACAACTGCACAAAGTGAATGTCGGTTGTTACAATACCAAGAATCATCTATAACATTTCTAAATTGAAGACAAATAATTTCTTATAACAACTTTTATTAATTATTCTTAATTTTTGACTCAACGTAATAGTATGTGACAGTTCCAAAGATATGGCAGCATTAATATTGTTTCGAAATGAAAGAAGCTTAAAAAAGTTTTTTTTTTTACTAATTTTGAAGACGAATATAGATAAACCATGAGATTTTTCATAAAAAATAAGTGTGATTACATTTTTGACAAATATTTTACATTTCAAACGAATCTGATGAATTTTGGAAAAAATATCCGTTTTCATTATCACTTGTACCAATTGCACAACAGGTACATTTTTTACAATAAAACACTTTATTAAAAAAGTATGCACTAAATGTGGACAACCAAGGCAGTTTTGTAAAGCTTAATCCTCATAGAATTTATATTAAAAAATTTACTTTGTTAAGTACAAAGGTCTATTAATTATTTAAAAAATATCAGGAAGAGAAATATTTACTTTTGGCCTCTAAAAACCAATCTCTAGAACTACCTGTTTCTGAGATATTCCATTTGTAACAACTGCATAGCGTAACAACCGCACCTAGTCTCCCCTACTATTATTTTTTAAATATTTAAAAATATTCTCTCCTTTCAAATTTACATTGCTTAACATAAATATTGCAAAAAATAAAACTTTAAATTATACTTTTATATAAATTATATTATTGTAGTGAACCAAGCTTCACAATAACATAACCAAGAATCTCTCATAAGTTCATAATCTATGGTAATCATCTACTAACTTCACTCTGCGAGAGTTTATCAAAAAAACGGTTATGAATTGACTGATCATAACTTTTTATTATTTTAAATTTTATTTATTTAAATATGTAGTGGTGGTGGTGAAGAGTTGTTTCCCAACTCTTAAAACAAATTAAATATGCTTTACCACGTATGCATTCTCAAGTTTCTGTAATAGTAAGAAAATTTAAAAAAAAAATTTTAATTTTTGTAATGTATAACTTATAATTTTTATAATCAAATGTATTTTTTTAGAATGTTTTCTCTTGAAAAGGATGGTGGCCACCATCGAAACGTCTAGACAATTATGTATATTAATAATAAATATGTTGACAAACTTAAAAATTGTCTTTAAAATTTTTTTAAGAAAAATTTGGATTCTTCGTTCTAAACTACAAAACAAGAATTTAAATTATACTTCTTAAATTCTCAACTTTTAATAAATCCAAAACTATATTATATTCATTTATTTTATATAGCAAAGGAAATCTTTACTTCTTAACTTTAAAAAACAAATTTATTATTAATTTTTAATTGTTTTAATTTAACCTATTACAATTTTTAAAAAAATATTTTTATATAAAAATGAATATTTATTTAGAGAACTTTTAATATTTTTGACGTCATTTAAAGTTCATGCTAGAAATTCTCCACGCGAAGAATCGCTAGCGCGCCACCTGTGCTTTCTTATAACATTGATATTTTCCACATCACTTTTGATCGAATCAACTTAAAATTTTCCAAAAAACTTCCTCTTACAGCAAGTTGTTGTATGCAGCCTCTAAATTATAAGTATATTAATACCTAGGCGAGGATGGGGTACCAATGCTTGTTTCAAGACTGATATAATCTCCTTAGAAATGGTTAAATAATATTTAACGGGATTGAAATACTAGTTTGTACATAAAATCTAAACAACTTACTAATTTCTAATTATTAATAATATTACTATAATTAAATTATTTGAATTTAAAAAAGCTAACATTTTTCAATTAATATTCCTAAAACTGCATAATATTTAGTAATTCTGTGAATAAGTAATTAATATCATTTCATATTATATTATCTCTCTATACATATAATAAAAAGATTTCGACAACGGATTCAGTGCCCTGAAGTTGGTAACAAATGGCCTCATACCCACTAAAGTTAGGTCATAATTTAGGTCAAATTTGACCTATTTTTCAACCTACAGTTCAAAAAGAGGCCCCATATGGGCCTATTAAGGCCTTCCGAAGGCCTTCCAAAGGGTCGGTATCCTAGGTCAAAATTTAGGTCAATTTGACCTAATTCTTAACCTATAGGTTAAAATAAGCTCTATTAAGGCCTTCTAGGGGTCATTATTTACGTCACCATTTATGTTAAATTTGACCAAAAGGGCCTCCGTAATGAACCCTTCACGAGTAACATTGCTTTACGTCGAAATTTATGTCATGTTTGACATGTTTCTCGACCTGTAGGTCAATCCTAAAACTGGTCGTTCCCTTACTTAAAAATTCTGGTCAAATGTTATCAATTTTTCGATCTGCAGGTTAAAAATAGGTCACATTTGATTTCAATTTTGACGTAGGGTAATGACCTTATGAGTAATTAATTAAAAAATAATAATAATAAATAACTAATTAGGTCCTTATGAGGCCTCTTTTTGATCTGTAGGATTAAAAATACCTTCAAAGTTATTCAATGTCTATACTTCATAATAAAAAGAATTAACGATGTAAGTAAACCAAATAATATCAAGTAAAAAATAGGAGGTTGGCGCGCAGGGGCGCAGAGCCCCCCTAATATTCATTTAAGTAATATATTATAAACAATAAATGGCATTTGAAATAATAATATTACAAAATAATTTTAATTTTATTTATAATATCAATCTTAACTAACCTTTCAAATTATAATTTTAGGAGTACCGAATGTCAAGTGTGCAAGAGAACATTGGCTAGAAGATTAGGAAAACAAGGTTATGAATGCAGGGATTGCTTAATGAAATGTCATAAACATTGTCACGTAAAAGTTGACAATTCATGTACTTCTTCAACCATTCAAAGTATTGAAATGTGAGTTAGCTTATTTCTGTATTACAAAAATTTATTATTTTAAACTTTATTTTTCATAAGCTTCATAGACTTCATAAACTTTTAAGCTTTTCGTTTTTTATATTTTATAATTATAACTTTCTCTTTTCCTCCATTTTGTTTTAGACTTAAATTTGTTACAAAATCCTTTAAGAAGTTAATCTTTTTTAATATATTGCTTTAAAATTTGTATTATTTAAGCTTTTTCCATTATTTGGGCAATTATAATTCCAATTTTATATTATTTAATTAATTTACGATTTATCTCAATTTTTCTTCGATACACGTGGAATTTTAACACAATATTGTGGAGATAATATGCATTCAGCTAAGAAAAGTTTTTTAAAATGCTAAAAAAATTTAATACTTAACCTTCCCTTAAGGGGTTACATACCTTTTTGACCGCAAAAAATGAGTGATTTTCATAATTATTTTTAGACTTTTTATTAAAACTTTATTAAAATAATTTACATTGCATCAAATAGTACAAGGTTTAATGAACATTTAGCAAGTTAGAAACTTAAAAAATATTAATATTTGTGTAAACTGTAGCTGTTGCCCCAAAAAACTTTTTTTTTAATGCGGCTTCTTCGACAAAGTTTTTCATAAACTCAGAAACTTTCACTACTTTAAGCAGAACAATTTTGGAGAAACTGTAACCAGTTTTGTTATTTCTAAAATAAGTTTGAAAGTAGAAAAGTTTCGTATTTTCTGAGGAATATTTTATGAGAAAATTGTGAAAAATGTTTCGTACAATCTAAATAACACGTGGTTTGAGTCTTCCCTTCGCTGTCTCGTCGCGTCGGTATTAACTTGTCTGCTTAGTATATGGATAATCAATATGTGGGAAAAAAAGAGAGCTGCTTTACTTGCCGGTAACGTTTGAATCATATTGTTTTCTTTTATCTATTTCACCTAACATTGTTTCAAATTCGTAACATTTTTTATGTTCTGTAATCCAAACTTTTAGTTAGGGTAATGTCACATTGAGTGGACCACCTGAGCTTTTACGTCATCTGACAGCGGAAACGTGAAATAAATAGAACGAATAGCAGCACCGCACCTAGAAACCGTAAGAAATTATGTCTCGCGATAATCATATGGCTCATTTCATTTAAAATGTAAAATCTATGTCCCTTGGTCAAAAAAAAAGTTTTTAGCTAGCAAATGAATATTAATATTATTAATAATTATTAATTATTAATTATTATTATTAATTATTAATAATATTGTTTGGTTTATTTGATTAATATCTAACATACTCTAATTTTTGATTTACTTATAGAAGAACTTTGAGGTAATTTAAAACGAAATGACAGATTGAAAAGCAGACTAAATGTTCTCTACTGTCCTTGTCCTCGAGGCACTTGCACTACATTGTCTCTAATAATTAATATATACATTCTTTTGTATTAGATTTAAACAAAACTTCTTTATAATCTCTAAATCTTATATTTTAAAATTCATTAATTACTTCATATAAAATTCAAGAATATCATTTTAAGAAATGATTAAAAACATGTCACTTATTTTCATATTTTATATTCTGCCAAAATGAATTCATTTTGGCACGCTCACTACGAGTAGGTTACGCGCATACACTCACTGTTTTACCGATGCTACAATAATAAATGAATAACCTAAAAACATCAAAGCAATTAGAATGTTCTGGTCTCTATCCTACAAATTATATAGTGGAGCAGAAAAGTAATTGATTAACGGTTGTAACATAGTTGTCCACTAGTGTCCCGTCTGTAAAATGGTAAGTAAATACTTTATATCTCTTATAAGTCAATTATTAGCAAAAAGATTCAATTCTTTAAGAAATCTGACAGCTTCCATTGCTTTCTAAATAACATACTTATGTTGTGAATCAAGAAAAGAGCAAAATGTCCCCTACTGTCCCGTATAATAGCTTTATTCTTATTATGTGGGTAAGAGTTTTTAAATTCAATGTATAAAAAACAGGAACTTGGTTTTATATGATACGAAGTTATTTATATGAATATAGTATAGATATTCTTAATATAATATTTGTTCTTTTTTATATACTGTTTCTTTTTCAAATGTCCCCTACTGTCCCTAAGTACCGTAACCAATCTTCTCTCATTTTTTGTATAAAAACAAAAAAAATTTGTTGTCCACGCAATAGAAATAATATTTATTTATATAAACGCATCTTAACATTTACACAATAAAAGAAAAAAGTTCATTTATTTAAAAAAATAAAGTTGAACGAAAACCAAACAATAGTGATCATATTCTGCCAAAAAACTGTCTGCCATTAAAAAAAATATTTACGTCTAATGTTATAACCACTATCCCTTTCGATTCTTTAGAACATTAAATATTATAGAAAACTTGATTACATATACAAAATCGAAAATTCACATTTTAACTTTCCTGCAGACTATATTTTACCTTTTAAATGAAATGAGACATATACGATATCGTTTGATGAAACGCATTTTTAAGAACACAAACCAAAAAAGAAGTCGCTCTTACAATGAGTAAAGTGATTCGGAAGTGTAAAAGTAGTGTAAAATTTAAGTTTTAAAAGGTAACTTATTTTTTTCCTACTACTTTGGACATTGAAATTGATTATCTTAGTTTAATTAAGTGATAATTTTGACTAAAAAAATTGTTGTGGCTGCCATAAAAAGTTGCATGTCACCATGAGTGGACCACTGTTTATAACCATGAGTGGACTGCCTGTTTTTTATATTTTTAATGTCAGTTTACCATTTTTATGGAAAAAAATTGACAATAAATTGGTTTCAAACTATGTTTTATGTTCTTTATTACTTTTTTTGTGATTTTGATGTGATATGTGCCAAAATTATTGAAAATGGTTTCACTTGTAAACATTGCGACACAATCATGGTCTGAAGTTGCATAAGCATAAGTGTTAAGTACAAGGTACTTAACAGGTACTATTTTATTATTATTTTTCTTTTTAATAAAGCTACAAAAGATAGGACAGAATTTATAAAACGTAAATTCCTATATATTTTATAATATTGTTTATAAATTATATGCATAAATTTATAAACATTATTAATACTTAAAATTTTATATAATAAAAGAAACCTCTATTTGAAAATAATTAAAGGTAATGCATTTCACACATATGCATTAAGACGACCTAGGTGTATACGTGAACATCTAGGGGAGAGTCTCCAGTTGTGAGACAGTCAATTTTTTTTAACATGCAATATTAAAAAGCTGATTGGTTTATATAAAAACATTTCTTTTTATATGAGCCAACTTTTTCGAGTACGCCGAAGCGGATATATAAACTGTTTTTGTTAAATACCAACACTGTGTGTGATAATCGACTAAAAAGCGTTTTTTCAATAAATGCGAAGTACTTTTTTTCCAAGTTAATTAATTGAAAAAGGTAAATGTAATGCATTTTCTTTTAGTGTTTTCCTTATATTTTGTGATGCAATATTGCATTGTTCTAATCTACGGTTGAAAATAATTTAATTTTCCTTTTTCAAAATAGCGCCAATTTCTGGGTGTGAGACACAGCATATCACCAGTTGTGAGACGGTGTCAACACCCATCTGGGTAGCATAAAAATACGACTTTGCAGGCATACTATTTAAATGTTGTTTTGAGTTTTTTTTCTAGTATTTTTGGGCATGTCAAGTGGAAAAAAGTCAATTGATTCAGAAGAAATCAATTTTAATGCTCTTGTTGAAGCTTTTAAATTGTGTTTATTTAGTAGTCATATTTTGGCGAATAAATATTATTATTTAGTATATAATAATATATATTATTAATATATTTAATTATTTCTACTAAACATAACGTTTTATGTCAAACTTATTAAATTTTAGCAATTTTTAATGAGTGTCTCACAACTGGAGATATTTTTTTTTTTTAAAAAGCGATGTGCTCGGAAAATGTATCGCAAATTTTTTGAGTTCATCGAAACACTATACTTTCTTTTAATAAAAGTTGCGTATTTCTGTTACCTTTCGAACGGTGTATTTTATTTACAATTTCGTTTGCCCGTTTACAATTTACGGGTCAAAAATAAAACCCGTCTCACAACTGGAGACACTCCCCTACTGATTCCGCTGGCTAATGCCCGGTTCCACCAACCTCGATTAAGGGCCAGTTTCACCAACTGGCGGTTAAGCTTGGTTCAACTGAACTCGTTCAACTCTTGATCGTCAGAGTTAACCGCTAGTGCGTTTCACCAGCCTAATCCCAGTTTAAAATGAACGCGTTTAGTTAATCTACATTCCCTAGAATTTCCTAGTGGTTATGGCGCTTAAATCTAACCACAGAATGTAAATAAACAACTGAACTAACCTAAAATATAAATGTTGCATAGGTTCTTTTGAGCTTAATATCTATTATTTTAAATTAAAACCTTAATAAAAAATGAGTAGTGGAGTAAAAAACAAGTTGTTCTTTTCATGATCATTTAGCTTCCACAATATAATATATACCAATTGCTTAATTTCTTATTCTAGAATAATTATTTAAAAGTATTTAAAAAAATTTCAAAAAATACAAAATTTGAATTTTTTGTTAAAAATAAAAATATCGTCCGATTAATTTTATAAATATTGATAAAATATATACTTTATATACATGAATCGATTCGTTTTCATGGCAGAAATACAATTTTGACAAGAGTAAATGAAAATTTTAATAAAGAAAAAAGTTATTTCAAAAATTACAAAATTTAAATTTTTTGTTAAAAGCAAAATTAGACAGAGAGAGCCAAACTTTTTTTAAAGTCCTTTTTTATATTTTCTTAATTTAATAACATAATAGTGCATACATATTTTGTGATTGTGGTGTAGTAGATCAGATTTGTAAATTTCAATACGAATGTCAATTAAATGACCATTTAAAATTTGTAAAGGCTTTTATATGAATATTTCTAAACATTTGTCAGATTTATTTTTCTTTTGTTAAAATCCTTCTTTCTTTATATTTTTTTAATTTAATTTACATTT